CAAGTTACTCCAAAGATCCACAACACAGGGTTATTTATACGTTTGTTGGGGACGGAATCCACAGTCCCTGTGGATTGACGAGCGTCCTGGCTGTGTCCCCACCGCTGCATCTCTGCTGGGCCTGTGGCTCTCCACTCCTCACTGAGTTCGCAGTAATTTTTGTTGGGAAAATGGTCCCCAGGTGAAAGTGAACTACTAGTATTACTGAGTTAGCCTTAAGAACCCAGCCGTTGGATAAACGAAAGCTTGAAATATTGAATTCAAGTGTGGCTCAGAGTCTGCTCCATGCAGAAACAAGGAAAGCACGAGTCGGTCGAGCCCGAATTTAGAGTTTTGAATAGCTTTGACTATTGGTAGATTTGGCTTTGGTAGATTTTATTATTCTTTATTATTACTTTTATATTAAGAGTCAGAAAGGGACACTTACATTTGACGGGCATCTTTGCTGCCATTTATGGGGGGAATATGCAGGGATTGGGATGATCCTACGACATGTCAAAGGCCTCCATGTTCACAGCAGCCTCAGATTTAGTCTTTTTGGCATTTTCTGTAAATGAGCCACAGGATTGAAAGAAACAGCCACTCATAATAAACTTGAAACTCATGGCTCATTACCAGACCACACTCCCACAGCATACTACAAAAAATACTTTAAAATAAATTCTGTATTTATCTTATGAATAACATAATTACATTTCTTTGCACTTGTTAAGTTAAACAGATTAATCTGGTAAATGTAAAAACCTTAAATATACCACAATTTTTGTACTCCTGTTATTTAAAAAAAGTCTTTCTATTTTTCTTTTAACACACTGGAGCTTCAGAACATCAGTGTCTGAGTTTCCTCTACCTCTGAGAAGCCCTGGTTCTGATCCGTGGAAAGAGGAAAGTGTCTTTTGTCCCATTAGCCAGGATGGATGCTGTCAGCAAATCAGGACAGAAAAAAATTAAATACATGTCGAGGTTGAACCGGCTTTCTTTTGCAAGCTGCATTATTCCCTCGGCGCCCATTTCAGGTTATATGTGCTTGTCTTTTCCCCTCTCCAGATTGCAGGCTCTTTAGTGAATCATAAAGTGAGCCCCAGAGATGTAAAGCAAGCCGCTCAAGGTCGCCCGGGCAGTGAGCAGCTGCGCCGGGGCCGGAGTCCAAGTCCTGTTCAGCCTGCCTTTTAAGACACGCAGGCATCAGATGTGCTATTTTGGGGAATTCCTGCTCAAGTCGCTGTTGCTTTCATCAGCCCGCACATATCTCATGGGGAGCCACTTCCTCTGCATGGGCCAGAAACAGGTGGAAGAGGCAGTGCCTGTCTACTGGTTACTTAATACACGCTGGTTCTCATCAACCTCAGACAGCCTCATATTTTCAAAATAGTGCTAATATCAATGAACATCAGGCATGAAGCTCTGATTTTTTCCTATTTGCTGGATCAAAGAACTCTGGCTCCTTTGTGTCCCCAAGTGCATGTCTTGTTCATCTCCTCGGCTCATTGGGTTCAGTGAGAAGATTTGAGCTTGTCCACCAACTTGGAAGAATATTAAGAGGCTGGCTGTATACAGTGCTGGGGCAGGGGGTGGGGCGCAGGCCTGGCCTTACATTGCTGGTGTGGGTAAGTCCACGCGCCCTGTTCTAGAGGGCAGCTTTGACTTTTTTTACATGCATTTCCTCTGCAACAAGAACCTGCTTCTAGGCATCTTGTTCTAGAGAAATGCTCACTTCACAAAGGCATGTTCCGGAGTGTTGACTGCTGTTAGGAACGACCGGAATGTCTGGCAATAGGGAAATGGCTCCGTAGGCTACAAGGCATCCATTCTGTGGGCTGCTGTGAAGCAGTTTGACAAAATGAGATGGATTCGTATACACTGACCTGGGAAGATCTCCAAGACATGCTGCGTAGTGACAAGAGGCAAGCTGCTCAGTAATGATGTCTAGCGGGTGGATATAATTTGTGATAAAATTGTGTAAATATGGGGAAGGGCTGGAAGGCTACACACTGAAGCATGGTGACCATGTGCCCTTCTGTGGTTGGCAGGGACAGTGGGTGTAGACTTTTTTGTAATGTGGATACATGGTGGTTTGTGTAAGCACGTTCCACACTGATGAGGAGCCTTCCCATTGCAAACAACCCTGCGATCAGTACCATTGCACAGGTGTCTTTATGCACTTGTGTAGGTAGGCCTGTGAAAAACTCCCAGAAACAGAATTACTGGGTCGAAAGGCAACTGCACTGGTAATTTGACAGATACCACAGAATTCCTCTTATCAATCTTACTCCATTTTGCACTCCATCAGTGACTTTAAAAAAAAATCAAGGTAAAATTCATGTAATACAAAATTAACCATTTTAATATGTACGATTCAGTGACATTTAGTACCTTTGCGATGCTGCGTGAGGTAGAGACTTTGGTCTACAATGTGTGGAAGAGGTTTACAATGCATTCGTGTGCTCCTTGTTTGGTTAAAAATGAAAAGAAAAATTAAAAAGTGTGGGCTTCAGAGTCTGGGCCCTTCACTAGTTGTGTGACCAAGTGAGGCTCTGCTCCCACATCTCTGAGATGGAGACAAAAACCTACACGCTGGGGCTCATGAGGGGATTCGATGTGCTGCTATGGGAAGAGCAGAGGATTTCACCACGGTGGTAGATGCTGGTTCCTTTCTCCCCCGTGCACCCTGGAGGCAATTCATTAATAGGCTCTGGCCTCAAGAGCACGAGTTCAGATCCCACCTCCCCCCTTTCTCTGTGTAATCTTACACAGGGCCCCCCACCTTTTTAAGCCTCAGTTTCAACATGTAAAATAGGGATAGAGGGTGTGGTGAGGACCAAGGGAGGTAATGGAGGACTTGACACCGTGCCGATGACATAGTACATGGTTGTGAAATTAGGACTTCTGCCAGCCCTGGTGTATGTAGTGCCCTGCACTCTAGGTGCCCAGTGATGAAGGACTCCATGAAGCTGTAATGCCTACTTGTTTCCGCTCTCTGACCCAGGGCCATTGGTGCCAACCCCCTGTATTGTGACTGCCATCTCCGCTGGCTGTCCAGCTGGGTGAAGACAGGCTACAAGGAACCGGGCATTGCCCGCTGCGCTGGGCCCCCAGACATGGAGGGCAAGCTGCTCCTCACCACGCCCGCCAAGAAGTTTGAATGCCAAGGTGAGCCCAGGAGCTCGGGAAACGGGGGGAGGGTACCGGGTTCATCCCCACCTCCCACTGCTGGCAGCCCACAGGACCTGCTCTGCCCTGGTGGGGCCTTCCGGATGTGCCTGTGGTGGCCGGTTGGATGGAGGGGTCAGGTGGCAGGAATGAGGCACCTGCAGCTTGTTAGCATGGCTGCCTTCTAGTTTTGACATAACAATGAGTGAAAAAAGCCAGTCAGAAATCTCAGGCTGTTAGGGCTTTAATCCCTCCCTGGGGTTATGTAAGGAAAGTAAAAATAGCAACAGCATTTCTGGAAACACCGAGCCTCTCAGCACAGTGAGCACTCAGGCTCCCCTTTGGTAGGAATTGCGCTCAGCAATTAGCTTAAATCCCTGAGCCGCTGGACCCAGCTGCCACTCTCCTGACATTTGTAGAAAGACAGGGATGGGAGGCACCTCGGGCTTTGCATCCGAAGGCGGCTCACCCTGGGCATCTGTAAAAGCTCCTTCAGGGATTGAGGGACTGACTGACAGCCCAAGCCCAGGAGCCCTGCTGAGCACAGGGAGGTGCTGAGCGGCTGCCCCGGTCCCAGCTTTGCACACTGGGGTACAGCGTGGGGAACACGCCGGAGGCCGTGGGGCGCGGACCCTGCCCTCTGCAAACTCACAGACCACCACTGGAAGTGAAACTGACAGCCATGGATTAGTGAGGAGGCCCTGGGCCACCTCGCCGTGCAGGATGCTGTCCCAGGGGTAACAGCTCCGAGGGGCCCGATATGTGGCTTAGCTGTTGGCTGTTGGGAGCAAGCTAACTTATGTTGAAACATTTGTTCGGGGTTTGTTTAACTGAGTGGTGTTGGTATTGGTGAGAAGTGGTTTTTTAAAACGTTTTTTTTAAATATAACATGCATAACAGAACAGTACACACACAGATCATAAGTGAATGGCTCGCTGAATTTTCACAAACTGAGTGCACACGGGTAACCAGCACCCGGGTCAAGGAGCAGAATCCACCTGTGCCGGAGAGGTCCCCGCACGCTTCCTTCCAGCTGTTACTGACCGGTGCTTCTGTTCATGCTTATGTCTTTGAGCAGAAGTGATATTTCTCCACTTCCAGGGGTCTTAAGTGGAAAACTGAGTTAGCTGGCTCCTCTTCCTGATTATTTTTCTGAGGTTCCAATGTCCCCATAGGAGGTGCTCCTCCCCCACCTCCAAGTTCAGGGAAGGGCAACCAGTGAGTCCTGGAGGGGCTGGAGAAGGTCATGCTCGCAACTGGAGAGGTGACGGGAAGAGTCCCTCCCCTTTGGCCTTGGAGAGAAACAACTTCAAGGCACATGAACCTTTTCATTCTAAGCGTCACCTCCTCATGGAGCTGCGTCTCCTCCCTGCGGAGGTGGCCACCCTTGTTATTCTGATTAGAGGGTGACAGGGCTGGGGATAGTTGCCTCAGAAGGATGTGAGAGCACCCAGGAAAGGTCACCCACTTCAGCTGTAGTGACTGTGGTGCTTGCACACTGATGGCCCTGCCTTGCCCCCCACTCAAGGGCTCCTGAGGTCGCCAGCACCAGACCATTAAGGACTTTTTGCAGATTAGCTCATTTAGTCCTTATGACCCTGGGGCAAGGGGCTGTTACCACATTTTACAGAGGAGGGTGGGAATGCTAGAGAGGGGGACTGTGTGACAGGATGAATGTGACTCAGAGGAAATAGCAAAAAGTTCCTTGGGGACAGCGCTTCCTACCACCCTTTTCTGAAGAGCTGGGATATGGGGTGGTGCCTAGCCTCCTCCTCCCTGTACTAACCTCTGCCCCCTTGCCTCAGGTCCCCCCACTCTGGCTGTGCAGGCCAAGTGTGACCCCTGCTTGTCCAGCCCGTGCCAGAACCAGGGCAGCTGCCACAACGACCCCCTTGGAGCGTACAGGTGTGCCTGCCGCAGCGGCTATAAGGTGCGTGGAGGCTGAGCCGGGGAGGGGGCTGCTCCGTGTGCCCCCGGGCGGGACTGGGCTTGTCTTGTTCCCCACTCTGCCCCCAGTGCCCTGAGAGCGGTTCCTGGCCCAGAACCGGGGCTTGAGTGGAAAATGAACAAGTGACACCTGGGACAGGCAGGCTGAGCTGCTGAGGGACTGGCTGTCCATTGGCTCACACTGGCCTCTGGGTCTCCCTGGGGTCCCCATCACTGACTTTCTCCCCAGGGCAGAGACTGTGAGGTGTCCCTGGACAGCTGTTCCAGTGGCCCCTGCGAAAACGGCGGGACCTGCCACACACAGGAGGGCGAGGATTCCGGCTTCATGTGAGTTGCTTGGAGGGGCCAGAACCTGGTAGGCGGGGTGCTGATTGGGTCCAGCACCCAAGCTTCGGTGCCCTCCACCTCCAAATGGAGTGGCGAGCCCCCTGTGCTCTGGGGGAGATAGAGGGTGGGCGCAGAGGGAGCAAGCGCTCATTAGAAACTCCTCCACACCCACCCCCGAGACAGGAGGCTGGCCCAGAGGTGGGAGCAAGTTCTGGTCGTGCCCCCCTGGACCCTCCCCCCACTGTCTCAGGGGTCCCACATGTCCCACACAGGCAGCCAGTTTCCCACAGCTCAGTGAAGGGCCAACCCTCACCAGTCCTTTCTCAAGCTCTCCCAGTGCTGACATCACCATGCAAGCCCCCCCCCCACTGACCCTGCTTCCCCCGGGCCCCTCAATGAATACCCCAATATCCAGAGCTCTCCTGGACCCAGAGCTTTTCTGAAGCATACTTGGTATTTAGTTGCTGAAAACAAACCGCCAGCCGAACAAATTGGCTCTGCATCTAGTGGCAGAAATGGCCAAGCCTGTCTCTGCAAACCCAAATTACCAGGTATCAAAAGGAAAACACTAAATGGCCTCTCGGCCCATTGTCGCCTTGGCAACGGTGCCGTACAATAAGCTCATCCTTCTTTGGGCCCCTCCTCAGTCCCTGGGCTCCTGGGAGGGGATGTCTCTGGAGAGTGGAGGGGCTGAAAGTACCCCCCAGAAACTCCCACTGCTGGGCAGAGGGGGCTGCAGTGGGTAGGCCCCCAGCAGCCTTACAGATTGGGGGCCATTGGGTGGGCCGTCCAGGTAGAAAGGGGGTGCCTCTCTGAGTTACCCCTCAACCCTGAGGCTTACAAGGGCCTTTTCAGAATTGCAAGGCTGATCCCTCAGCCCCTCTGTTGTTCCCCCCACCCTACCCCCATCTTTGTGGGTGAAAAATTAAACTCCAGGACACGCCCCACAACAGTGGGCTTTAAACCTTTTTGCTCACATACCCCCCAAACAGAATTTTAAAACTACATACATCCTCACACATTCTCAGATTGACAGCTAAAATTTCTCATTGTACATTTAATGTTTTGTCGCAAAGGAGGTCATTTTCAGGATATTGTAAATATTAACATTTAAAAATAAAACTATCCCTCTTTTATTGTTCCCCAATGGAATCTGAATAGCATGGCAATTCGATACCATTAAAAATTACACAAATAGGCTACTCTTTTATAGATTAAACAGTTTCCTCATTCCTTTTCCTTCTTGAACCAGTATTTACATTTTAGTCCCCATGCCCCCTCTCATTTTCTTTCCAATGTAATCCATTTTTATGCTAGAGAGACTTTACTTGAGCACCTGCCATATTTCTCCACCAACAACATGGGTATATAAGTGTAAATTTAAGGTTTTCTTTATTTCTTGTGACCATAGCCTCTGATTAAAAGTTTAGTTATCATTATAATTATCAATAATATACAACTGGTCAATCAACATTACTGTATTACAAAGTTTGATTGATACCACAAATAACAGTAGAATTTTATTAGACACATCTCTTAATGAGTAGATATATATATATCTATCTATCTGTAAATGCTGAGAAAGTTTGTTCACATAAATAAACAGAGGAGATTAGGAGTTTTATTATAGCCACGCCACCCAAGTCTTTGAAATCCTTCCGCGTCTGTGTGCCAAAAACCCCAGAGTGGTCTATCATCAGAAATTATTCGTAATGCTCTATCAGCTGACAATTCCATGAGGTCTCTCTTCAATTATTTTTAACACATGGAACTGGAAACCTCTCGACTTGCAGAAGCCATTTGTTCATTCATTTTCAAAACATCGATATTCCTAATTGTCCCTTTATTTGGAGCCCCAGGATTTTAGGCTCCAGTCAAGTCCCACCTTGGACTTAGGCTGGGAGAGGTGTGTGCTTTGGTGGGGCTCTGGGGCAGGTCAGTCCAGGGAAGAGTTCCTGCAGAACCTGAAGACCTGAAAATCAATTTCTCAGACCTCTCTGACCCACATACCCCTTGGAAAACCCCAGGCGCCCCAGGGGGAGGTGTACTGATCTCCAGTGCCCTCCACAACCTGCTCCAGCCCCATTCTCACGCGATTCCTGAGGTCTGTGCTCCTGAAGGCCTGAACTGTTTGGATGAGCAGGACCCCCTCCCAGAGGACTGGCTTCAGGGTCTTTCCCAGGCTTTTGCACATGCCTCTGCCCCCACTGTCTTCCCTCTCATTCCTGCACTCCCATCAGGGTCCTTGACTAACTCATCACCTCCTCCAGGAAGCCTGCTCTGACCACCCCCCAAGGAGGAACTACATGTCCTCTGCCCCTTTGCTCCCACTCCCTGGCCTCAGTGCTGCACTATCCTCATACTCACCACTTCTCCTCAGGTTGCCGGTCCCCTCATCACCTCCCCCGTAGACTGTGAGTCCCATGAGTGCAGGGCTGGTCTTGTTCACCTCTAACCCCTGGCTCTAGGAAGGGCCTGCCCCAGAATAGAGACCAAACCTCTGGGAGGATGATATTAACCAGTGGTCACCAGCTGCGGCTCTGGCCATGGGCCCACCTGCCTCTCCCTCCTCCCTGCCCCACAGGTGCTCCTGTCCTACTGGCTTTGAAGGACCAACCTGTGGGGTGAACACAGACGACTGTGTGGAGCACGCGTGTGCCAATGGAGGCATCTGTGTGGATGGCGTGGGCAACTACACTTGCCAGTGTCCCCTGCAGTACACGGGTATGTGGGGATCAAGTGTCCTGGGGAGGTGGGAGCTAGTATGCATGCCTGAACCCCATTCCCTTGGGCAGAAGGGTTGGGGCCCTGCCTCAGTGTCTGCAGGAGGTTTCCGCTGGGCTGGCTGCCTGGCAGAACATGGGGGGCTGGAGGGGCAGCTTCTCTCCTGCCTCTCCCTGGTTCTTTTCCCAGGAAGGGCCTGTGAGCAGCTGGTGGACTTCTGCTCCCTGGATTTGAACCCGTGTCAGCACGAAGCCCAGTGTGTAGGCACCCCGGATGGGCCCAGGTAGGTGTTGCCCATTCCCAGGGTGGGAAGGGCAGGGGCTGCCAAGTCACCTCCCTTCCATACCAATCCCCTCCCCATCCTATTTCCTCACCTGTCAAGTGGGTTTGGTCTCAGCCATGCAGGGTTCTTGTGAATCATTGTGGGGGGGTTAAGGGGGAGCTTTGCTGCCAGCATGACCTTGAATGGATGGCTTGACCACTCCTAGCCTCAGTTTTCTCATCTGTAAACAACACACCAGAAGCTTCCTTCTGGGGTGGTTGTAAGGATGGGCTGAGCAAATGCATGGAAAGCACTTAGCTTCATGTCTGATATCTGATCAATGCTCCATAAAGAGCTATTATCCTAGATCTACAATTTCTCATCTCCAGTTACAAAATCCGCAAAACTCTGAAAACCAAAAGTTAGTTTGATAGCAAAATCAGACCTGACCTGAACGTATTTGGTAATAAAAGCTCACCACATGGATATGGGGCTTCTTACAGTAATGAGCCATCCACGTAGAGTGAATGTGTATAGATTTTGCTGCAGAACTGTGAACGTGTGTGATTGAGGTGCTGCCCTAGACCCCGCTGGCATGTTACGTAGCATCAGAGAACATCATACCATTTTATACAGTAAGGATAAGTATGGTCTCGTGTGTGTGTATACTGGGTAGAAAGGTATTTCTTACAGCCGGAAAAACACTGGGAATGAGTTAAAAATCCAGGCAGGAGCACCCACCTGCCAGGCTGTGGAGTTTGCAGTCTTCAGTTTGGAAGGGTTTCCAGCAAAGGTTTGCTCAGTGACAGCAGGCATGTTCACCAGAGGCTTCCCGGAGGAGGTGAGATCTTGGCCTGAGGCAGGGAGAGAGAAAAGAGTATTCCAGAATCAACAGGAGTGAAGGCGGGAAGTGCCAGTGGGGTGGGGGTTGCTGCCAGTGGAGACAGGTCTGACCACAGGCTGGACCTGAGCTGGGAGGAGCAGGACAGCGAGTGTCATGCCCGCCTGTGACTGGAAGCGGGTGGAGGAGTGTGCCCTTTATTTGATAGGCAAATAATTGGCTGAAATGGGTTTTCGGGTGAGCAGTGAGGCACAGTGCAAGCAGGGAGCTGGAGGTTGGCCTGGAGTCACTGCTGGGGCCAGGAGGCTGGGCTGGTGGAGTGAGGAACCTGGGGAGGAGGGATGGGTGAGCCCCATGATTCAGGGCCATGTGCTGGGGAGCAGCTGGGCAGGTCTGGAAGGGGCTGAAGTTTGGCCCTGGATGTGCCAAACTGGTGGTGAGTCCGGGTCCTCCCTGACAAGATTCCCATCTCCTCCTGCGGTGGGGTGTCCACCCTCCCAACCCAGAGCCCCCCAAACCCACACAAGCTCTCTGTGAAAGGGTTCCAGGACAGGCTGGGGGCATCCTTATATCCAGGGCTCTGGTTGACCTCCTGGGGTGCCCCAAAGGCCCACAGGGCCTTGAGATTCTCTGTGACACA